ACATGGGACAAGGGTTTAATCTCCAAAATATATAAAGAACTCATATGACTCAACACCAGGAAGACAAACAATCCAATTAAAAATGGACAAAGAACCTGAACAGACACTTCTCCAAGGAGGACATACGCATGGCCCATTGACATATGAAAAAAAATGCTCATCATCACTAGCCATCAGAGAAATTAAAATTAAAACCACAATGGGATATCACCTCATACCTGTCGAAATGGCTATCATTAACAAGTCAACAAACAACAAGTGCTGGTGAGGATGTGGGGAAAAGGGAACCCCTAGTGCACTGTTGGTGAGAATGCAGACTGGTGCAACCACTGTGGAAAACAGCGTGGAGTTTCCTCAAAAAATTAAAAATGAAACTGCCATTTGACCTTGTGATCCCACTGCTGGGTATATATCCTAAGAATCCTGAAACACAAATTCAAAGAATAATGCTCCTATGTTTATAGCAGCATTATTTATTATAAAATGGCCAAGATTTGGAAACAGCCTAAGTGCCCATAAGTAGATGAGTGGATTAAAAAGCTGTACATTTGCACAATAGTATACTATGCAGCAGTAAAAAAGAAGGAATTCTTATCTTCTGTGACAGCATGGATTGAAATGGGGGCTATTATACTAAGTGAAATAAGCCAGTAAGTGAAAGACAAATATCATATAGTTTAACTTGTAAGTGGAATTTAATTAACAAACTAACAACCAAAATAGACTCAGAGGCACAGAAACATGGAACAAACTGATAGTTGGAAGAGGGGAGGGGGAAGGTGGAGACTGTTTGAAAAAAGGTGAAGGGATTAGTCAAAGAACATATATGTATGACCCATGGACATAGTCACTGGTGTGGAATTGACTATGGGAATGGGGGATGGAGTAGGTGGAGGGGGGCAAAGGGAGGAAAATTGGAACAATTCTAATAGCATATATAAAATATTTTAAATATAATATTTTCACAAGAAAAAAGAAGCTAGGAAAACTCAGGAGAGGGACTGAGTTAGACAGAATGGGTAAAAAGACTTCCAGTGGAGGTGATGTTGAATAGTATTTCAAGCTGAATAGATGTTATCTAGATGAAGATACAGGGAAAAACATTTCTGGTGGTGGAAAGAAAATAGTGTATAATTCAGACTAGTTTATGTGAGTGAATGCTGAGAAAAGTGGTTGGAGATATCTCAGGAACCACATCATGTGAGATTCATATGATAAAGAGTTTGCACTTAGTACCCAGCAGTGGTCCTGGAAGATACTATAAGAATAAAAATGTTTGAATGTGTGAATGATTGACTGGTTATAGATGGTCTGAAAAGTTGCTAAATGATTTTAAGAGGTGAGTAACATCATCTGATTTGTGTTTTAGAAAAAGAACACTCTGGCCACAGTGGAAGGATGGATTGGATAGGGGCCAGATTGGAAGCAGGGATTTCAAGACAAGGTATATAATAATGAATTAAATAACAAGAACCAAACACAAAGCTCAGAGTGTAACTAGAGAAGGGAAGATGGACTAGGTCATTAAGGAGATGGAGTCTATAAAACACATTGATGATGGGGGTCAAGTCTTGGATGACTTCTACTCCTATCTACCCTTTCTCCATTAGGTCATAGTTTCCCTAATAATGGACAGAAAGAATTAAAACAAATACTTGAAAAGTTTTTGTTATTTTTTTAAATTTTATTTTTAGAGAGAGGGTAAGAGAGGAAGAGAAACATCAATGTGTGGCTGCCTCTTATGTGCCCCACACTGGGGACCTGGCCTGCAACCCAGGCATATGCCCCGACTGGGAATTGAACCAGTGACTGGGGAATTGCCCCTACTGGGAATTGGTTCACAGGCCTGTGCTCAGTCCATTGAGCTACACCAGCCAGGGCAGAAAGGTTTTTGTTGTTATGAAATGTAAACATTTCATTGCCTCTCTAGTTTTGTTTTGCATAGGCTAATGTTGAATTTACCTGTGGGTAAAGTAGAAGAGAGTCATCCCAACCAAAATGGGGCCACATAGGATGACTTGGAAGCCCAAGGAATATTACAAGGCCTGTTCTATATACTGACTATATTTTACTTAACATCTGTTTTTGATTGGTTGGTTTTCTGGTTTAATCCAAGCACATAGTAAAAAAAATTCAGGCACTATAAAACTGAATGAAAAATTAATTATCTTCTCCCCCCCAAATCCTTAGCTCCACACTCTTATGCTACCACTGCCAACAATTTTTTATCCTAGAAAATCCTAGAAAATTTTTATCCATTTAATACAAAATATATTCTATTATACATATTGTTTTTACTTTCTGTATTTGTGCATACAGATTTGCCTTAGTCTTTTTTGACAATATATATACTCTTTTGAATGGATGTATCAAAATTTATTTAACCACTTTATTGTTGGACAACAGAATGAAGGGATGATATTTAATGCCAGAAATAATCAAAGAGTTTTAAGTTTTTTATTGTGAAATATAATGTATATGCAGAAAAATGATAAAACTTAAAAACTATAGTTTTAACAGTTGTAGAGCAAATAGCCATGTGACCACTGGTCCTGTCAAGAATACAACGTTGCTAAGCTTCCTCTGTATACCTTTCGGGTTGCAGCCCCCTTCCTCCCCACTAAGGTATACATTTCTAAACAACAGATGTAGTAGTTTGGTTTTGCTTGTTTTTGGACATTGTATGTAAGGAATCAACTCTGGAAATAACTTTTTTATAAAGCATTATGTTTTTTTCTATTTTGTGTACTTTTTATTAAGGTATAGTTGACATGAAACACTTTATTACTTTCATGTGCCCAGCATAATGATTTAACATTTGTATACATCAGGAAATGATCACCACAATAAATGTAGTTAGTACGTGTTACAATATGTAGTTACAGAATTTTTTTCTTGTGATGAGAACTTTTAAGGTCTACTCTCAACAACTTACAGATATGCAGTACAGTATTATTAATTATAGCTACCACACTGTATATTACATCAGCATAACTTATTTAATTTTTATTGAATATATTGGGGTAACATTGGTTAATAAAACTATATAGGTTTCAGGTGTACAATTCTATACTACACCTGTAAATTGTATTGTGTGTTCACCACCCAGAGTCGAGTCTCTTTCTGTCACAGTTTACCATCCCCCTTCCCTCTTATAATCACCATACTGTTTCTTTCTATGAGTATTTTTTTTGCTAATCCCTTCACCTTTTTCACCCTAGCCCCCTCCCCCAATAGCTGTCAGTGTGTTTTCTGTATCTAAGAGTTTGTTTCTATTTTGATTGTTTATTTTGTTCATTAGATGTCACATATAAGTGAAATCATATGGTATTTGTCTTTCTCTGATCATCTTATTTCACTTAGCATGATACTTTCCAGGTCCATCCGTGCTGTTGCAAAAGGTAAGATTTAGCAATTCCACTTCTGGGAATTCATCTGAAGAAACCCAAAACACCAATTCAAAAGAATGTAAGCACCCCTGTGCTTCACTGCAACATTATTTACAATAGCCAAGATTTGGAAACAGCCAAAGGGCCCATCAGTAGAGGAGTGGATTAAAAAACTGCAGTACGTTTACACAGTGGAATATCACACAGCAGTAAGAAAGAAGAGACTTTTACATTTTGTAAGAATGTAACATACATTTGGACAATGTTGAAAAATCACATTGGGACAGTACATACACCCTTCCAAATATGTTTGAAGCTTCTCTTTTGAGGAGTCCTTTAAAATGTAAAGCACATTATTTTATTTATTTTTCTTTTTAAAATATTTTAATTAATTTTGTTATTATAGTTGTCCCAGTTTCCCAGCCTCACCCACTCCATGCAGCCCACCCCCCACTTCCATAGTAAAACACAGTATTTTAAATATCAGTTTGACACGGGGTGGTAAGAAGCTAGAAAAATTCCTGGGTAAGTGGAATGGGGAAACTGAAACAAGAAAATTAAACGGGACCAAACAGTTTGAGCAACTTACAGCCAGCTTGTGAATCACAAGAACCTGTCTCCCCTAACCGAGGACACTTGAGAGTGAATGGTGTATAACCCTCCTCCCTCACCGAAGAATACCTGGCTTAAACCTCCCTCGTCTGGGACATAGAGCACAGAGGCCCAATTAGTCTCATTTGTGTCAGCTACACCCAAGGACAGATGAAGTCAGGAACAAACAACAAAAACCCCATGAAAAGCCAGACAAACTCAAGATAAAAGTAAAACAGTATAGCAGACCAAAGAATATTCCCAAAAGCCCTCTGTGTGCTTATTTCGACAAATCAGCATATTAAAAGTACACCTGAAAAACTGATGAATAATCTGCTGAAGCCCTCCCCCTGCGGATGAAGTTTCTCACTGCAGAAAAAAGATAAAAAGTCCTCAGGACAAAGACTCAGGGCAAGCTTGCTGTAGCACACACCAATGCCCCTTCCTGGGCATGAACCTTTTACATTTCCCAACTAAGGATCCCAAGGAGGCTTGCAGCCAGGGGAGCAGTGGGCAGCAGCAACCTGACCCGGGCTTACCCACTGATCCGTCTCCAGGACCCCCCATTTTCTCCGACTTCCGGGTGAAGTAAAAGCAGCCAGCCTTGACTCACTTCTGTCTCTGACTTTTACTTTCCAGTGACCTAACAGCAGCTTACCTTACTCCTTACCTGTAGCTTTTCTAGGGAGCCAAGGCAGAGCTCTGCATAGGTCCTCCTGTTATTTCTACCCTAAATCTTTCCTTTGTTTACTGTCACCAGCATTAATAAATGTAGTATCAAAATCATCCAGACTCGTATTGTGAAATCTCCTACACAAAGTCAAAAACCCACACACTACAGGCATGTTTATAGGTCAAAAATAATCAAATATCACCAATTTTATAAGGTTCAACTTAATGAAAAGATGCATATAAATGAAATATTGTTGGTCACTTTATTGGTTTTTAAACACACATAAAATAGTGCAAGGTCATAAGAGTATACTTTTTGTTTTATTACTAACAATGCTTTTATTTTAGTTCCATAACAAAGACATAGAAAAAGATGAAACTTCACAAAACTGCATAGAGAGAGATGTGGAACAAATAGCAAAGCGGTTAAGGATGGCCCATGAGGAAATCCGAAGGCTCGCTGATGAGCTGCAAGGGAATGACAAGGAACAGACTAAATTAGGTAAGCTGTGGTTACAGAAGAACATTTCTGGCCTTGTTTTCTTTAAATTATATTTTGTTGATTATGCTATTACAGTTGTCCCAATTTTCTCTCTTTGCCCTCTCCACCCAGCAACCCCACTCAAGCAATTCACACAACCTTGTTCATATCTGTGGGTCATGCATATAAGTTATTTGGCTACTTCATTTCCTGTACTGTACCTTACATCCTCATGGCAATTCTGTAACTACCAATTTGTACGTCTTAATTCTTTCACCTCTTCACCCACCTCCCATTTGGCAACCATTAAAATGCTCTCTAGTTGGGCCTTGGTTGCTCTTGGCAGGTCAATTCTGCTGTAAGGATTGGCTGCGACCACTGACCACTAACCTCTGTACTCCATCGAGGATCAGCTGTGCAGGGGCAGGGTGGTGGTGCTCCCACAAGGTCTGTAGCTGTCCACTGGGTGCGTAGGCTCTGGGATTTCCCAGGTGATATAGGCCAAGTTCAGTCCCCACCAGTGTTCTGTAATCTGAGATGGCTGCTACTTGTGCTGGTCTTGGAGATTTCCAGGTGAGGCCAAACTGTGAATCTAGGCTGGCTGCTGCTGATGCCAGTCCTGTGGCCACTTAGTAAGAGGTATGGGAGCTGGGGGCTCACTGAAGCCAACTGTTGCTTGGTTGAGAGGTTTTAGGAAGTTGTGAAGCATGAGCCAAGATCAGCTGTTCATGTGGAAAAGTCACTGTTAACAGTGACTTTTTAATTATATATAAGTATATACCCAGCATATACTGTTAACAGCTTGATTGGGCCCATAAGTTGGGTGGGATGGAGTCTCGGGATCTCCAGGGTGGGGCAAACAGTGTTAGCCAGTTGATGGAATCTCAGGTATGGCTCCAGCCTCCCGGCTCTGTTGGTGGAGGGTTCATTCAGAGAAGGGACCAGTGTCTTCTGCCCACCTTTCTGAGTGGGAGAAAGCTGTCCCCCAGCTCTCACCTTGATGCCAGGCATATCAGTTCCTCCCTGTATGCCACTGGTGCCTTTCAAGCAGTAACCCCCATCTGGAGCTCAGAGGGAGTGAGTCTGAGCAAGTCCATGTGTGGGTTCTTTAAAGGGAACTGCCTGAGAATCCAGCAGTTTCTTCCACTGACTAAGTTTCTGCTGATCTTTGTGGCCAGAAATTATGGGTACTTACCTTCCTGGGCTGGGGGGACCTGGTGTGGGGCTGGGACTCCTTGCTCCTGAGATATCTCTCCCAAATTTTTATCCACCACACATGGATGTGGGACCAGCTTGCTTCACATCTCTGTCCCCCCAGTACCAGTCTGGATGGATGTGGTTTCTTTAATTCCATAGTTGTCAGACTTCCCTTCAATTTGATTTCTGATGGATCTGAGTGATGGTTGTTCCATAGTATAGTTGGAATTTTGATGTGGTTGTGCAAGGAGATAAGCCATGTTTACCTATGCTACTGTATTGACAAGAAGTCTACTGTGTTTTAAGTATGATCTTTTTTTCAGGTAAAACATGAGTACCTCGAGAAAATAATCTTTTCAGATAAACATGCAAAAATCTGATAAAGACCCTCATTTTCTTCAGTGTCCACAATTTTTTAAGGAAGCATAGGTATAACATACCTTCAAAGAAGTGCACAATTCTTTTTTTTAAACCCCCACAACCCAGGCCTGTGCCCAGACAGGGAATCAAACCAGCAACCTGTTTATTCACAGGCGGATGTTCAATTTACTGAGCCACACCAGCCAGGACAGGAGTTCTTTATATATATTAGATATGAGCTTTATGTTGGTTACAAATGTGATGTTGGGGTTTTTTGTTTTGTTTTGTTTTGTTTTTTGCCACATGGAAATGCTAATATTTATCAGGTCATATTTAACAGAGTTATTCTTTTGGTTTAGGAGATGATGCTCCAACCGACTGAGCCGCACTGGCCAGGGCCAAAGCTATTCTTTATGGTTTCATGGTTTGCATGTGTAAAGACTTTTCTCCATCACTACAGTGTTGAAAATGTCCACCTCTTGGTTTCTTCTTTTTAGTGCTTTTATGGTTTAGCTCTTTATATTTTAGTCTTTGCTTTATCTATAATTTATTTTAGTATAAAATTTAAAACTTTCTGTTTCCTTTCTATATTTATAATCTGCAATTATTGAAGAAATTAGACTGATTCTTTTCAAACATCATTTATGGATTACCTTAAGATCACATCTAGAGAATTTTATATGTATAAAATAATAATGATTCTGCCAAATTGATTGTGAGATTAAAAACAAAAAAATATCAGGAGGCTTGAGATTTTTGAAGGATGCATTTTAAACAGTGAATGCAAATGAACTTTTTAGAAAATAGAATTGTTCTGTATCCTAATTGGATTGCTGGATATATACTTATATATAATTGTCAAACTATATATTTAAAAGGATGAATTTGACTGTCTGCAAATTGTACCCCAATAAACCCAATTTTTTAAAAAAGAAAAGAAAAGAGATTTGGCTGTGTAAGAACTGGTCTTTGCTGCTTGCAATACAGGAGAAAGGAAAAGCAGTACACCCGTTACTCAGTTACATTTGGACACAACAGAACACAATCACAAGGCACCTGCTCCATCAGCAGCTGGTAGGTCTGGTAGATCCTAAGCTATTAATCGAAATCTATCTCCACAGTGAGTAAACTGGGAGCAGACTGCTGGGAAGCTGAATTAGCAAGTCTTTTAATATGTTATCTGTAAAGGCGGCCCACGGGGCCTAAGCTGTTTGTACAAACAGTGGTTTATGCCGAAGTCCTGCTTTCCTTCTGTTCTGAGAGCCTGGAATTTTAGTACGTGCTGTGCAGAAGATGATGTACGCATATACTTGACCAGCCTCCTATAAACACCTTGGTCACTGAGTCTGTGAGGGGTTTCCCTGGTAGACATTTCACACCTAGTGTCAATTTTTTTTTTTCTGGAGAAATTCAGCACATCCCGCGCGACTCCACTATAAGACTCTTAATAGCTTCTGCCTGATTTTCTCTGGATTTTGTCCCAGGCACCTTTTCTCTGTGATTAGGAATGATCTCTTATAAGATTCATATTAGTCTTTTACTTCTGGGAGATTTTTCATCCTGACACGATAGGAAGCCCACCAGTTATTTGAAATTTGATTATCACACAACTTCTGTACTCTGTACACAAATACAGGGGGTGGCAAAAGTAGGTTCACAGTTGTGAGTATGAGAAGCACAGAGTTAATTCTTGTATTATACTGTATTAATGATCATATTATTTTCCATATGAACAACTCTAAACATAGTTTTGCCCCACCCTGTGGCTTTGTTTTCCTCTAGATACTGCACTTGAGAAGGCTCAACTAGAAATTGAGGAACTCAAAGAAAATTTGATAAAGCTGAAAGAAAATGGTGAGTCATTTTAACAGATGTAATATTTACTTTTTATTTTAAATATTTTATTTATATTTAGGTAGAAGGGAAAGGAGGGAAAAAGAGAGGAAAACATCAATGTGTGGTTGCCTTTTGTGTGCCCCCACTGGGGACCCAGCCTGTAACCCAAGCAAGTGCCCCGACTGGGAATCAAACCTGCAACCCTTTGGTTTGCACACAAGCATTCAATCCACTGAGCCACACCAGCCAGGGAAGCAGATGTAATATTTAATAATAATACAGTAAATAATAATATAACATTAAACAATGTTTTTAAATAATATTATTTAATAATTGTAATAATAATAGCACTACTACTGCCATTATTACTATTTTTACTATTACTGTTACTACCAGGCCCTTTACAGGCATTCCCTCTAATCCTCACAACAGTTCCAGGCAGTGAGTGTCATTATTCCACTTCACAGATGAAGAAACTGAGTCATGGCGAGGTTAAGTGAATTAGCACATTTGGACAGTGGCATACTATGCAGAACAAAATGAGAGAATAGATAAATGTGCTACATTAATTAAATGGACGAAAGAACGAAGAAGATCAAATTATTGATATAGCACAGATACATCCCAAAAATATATGCTGAGTGAAACAAGCCAGACACAAAAATATGTGTATTGTAAGATTCCACTTATGTGAAAACCAAGAACAAGCAAAACCAGCCTCTAGTGACAGAAGTCAGGGAGTTGGGGTGGGGGGGAGTAAAGAGCTGATTGAAAGGATGTGAGGGAACTTTATGGGGTGATGGAAATGTCCTTTATCTGTTTGGGGGGAAGTTTACAGGTACATAAAATTGTCAAAGTGCATTGAACTGAACACTTAAGATAGGTATGTTATATAGTATATAATTATACCTCAATTAAAAATAGTTCCAAATAAGAAATAAAAAATGACTTTATAAGGATTGTCCTGGCAATATATCCATGATATGTTTGCAAGTGGTAAAGTTGCAGCAGTAACACTGCAGACAGTAGGTATAACTTTATTTAATTTTTTAAAAATTGCATACACCAAAGGTAGAACAAATCTTGTTTGCATTCTCTCTCTCATATATATATATCTCAGTATATCTCCTACATATCTTAAGTGTTCATTCAGTTCAATATACTTTGACTATATATATGAATTGTGAATATATATTACATATGTAGGGATTGTGAATGATTTATTTTTTCCAATGTGTTTTTAGCATTTTTCAAATTTAAAAAATTTATATACTAAGGATGAAAAATGAGTGTAGCAAGGGAGAAAAAATGAAGAAGGAAAAATTAATACAACTTAAATACAAAACAGACAATGAAGAAGGAAAACAAAGACTTTGAAAGCAGAAAGAAAGAGAGAGAGAGGAAGGAAGGAAGGAAGGGAGGGAGGGAGGGAGGGAGGGAGGAAGGAAGGAAGGAAGGAAGGAAGGAAGGAAGGAAGGAAGGAAGGAAGGAAGGAAGGAAGGAAGGAAGGAAGGAAGGAAGGGAGGGAAGGAAAGGAGGGAAGGAAGGAAGGAAAACGGAAGAGAGAAACGAGCAGAAAGTAGCTAAAAAGAAACAGCTACAAATTCAGGAAAGTCGAAAGCAGCAAGTTTGTGTTATTGAAACCCTGATGAGCATCAGAAAGAGTGAGTCTTAACATTAGGTGCTAAGCTGAGAGTGGACTACGGCTTTAATGGCAGTGTAGCTACAGGCAGAGAGATGGCTTTGATGAATTAATTTGCTTTAACATGGTAAATGTGTTCTTTCACTGCTCCTAGTTCACTACTTCAGTCATCTACAGGGCACCTGCTGTTAATGAACAGACAAGAAGTATCTAGGAGTATGCGGGGTGTGTAAGAGAGACAGGACCATAAGGAAGCCAGGAAGGTCATTTTTTTTAATCATTTAACTTCTAGAAGATTGGCTCAACTGTTTTAAAATTCTGGGTCCTGGAAGAACCTCTATTGCTGGAAACCCTACACACAAAAGTCCAATTCATTAGTCTTGGTGTGAGAAATAAAAAACATTCTGTTCTGTTTTGTTAGGCTGGTCAAATATGCGAGCTCTAGATGTTACATTCAGAGACATGACAAAAAGTCAGGGAACCACACTTGCTCCATTTTTGGAGTTAATTCCTCCAAATGAAAACTTTGTTCTAGTTGAATAGAGTGCATTCTCCTCTGTTTTAGATTCAATTGACCTAAAGAAAGCAAAGGAATATAATCAGAGACTGAATGAGGAAATTCTGGCTTTAAGAACTCGGGTTCGATCACTTGACTCAGAAAGAAAAGTGCTTGGGGAAGTGGTAAGTTGTTTAATTTAGTTTGTTCTTAGAGTTATTTTAAATGTGTGTAGAATAACAACCCAGCAGAAGAGCAATAAAGATACACACCACATATTGGTCATTACTGAGGATGGATATTCATGGCGCTAGGATCCCAGGCAAATGCCATACTTTGACTTGAATGCATGCTGTCAGTATTTGTATCCTATAATTCTTAACTACCTATGCTTAACAGAAATCTTGTTGCTATTGTGCGAATTTATGATCTCTTATTTTTAATGGGATTTAGATAATAGTTTACACTCAACACATTTACCAAATAGAAATTATTACTCTATTATACTGGATATGTTTGAGATTATTAATACTACACTCTTAGTTGTGTTACATTTTTTAACCACTCCTCCTTAGCAATTAATTGATTTTTAATGTATACTTCCAATTTCTGGGTATATTATATCCCTCCAATTTTAGTCTATATTAATTTCACAATTGTATCTCCATGTCTGTAACACAGTGCCTGGCATATATACCAAGTGCTCAAAAAATTTCATCGTGAGAATGAGTAAATAGCCATTAGGATGGCTATTATTATAACAACAGAAAATAACAGATGCCGATGATGATGTGGAGATTAAAACCCTTGTGCACTAGTGGAAATGTAAAATGGTACAGCCACTGTGGGAAACAGTATGGCAATTTCTTTAAAAAGTAAACATAGAACTACGATAAAATCCAGCAATTCTGCTTCTGGATGTACACCCAAAAGAACTGAGAAAGGGGGCTTTAACAGATACTATTATACTCATGTTCTTAACAGTATTATTCACAATTGCCAAAAGGTTGAAGCAACCCAAGTATGTATTGACAGGTGAATGGATAAAAATACAATGGGATATTATTCATCCTGAAAAAGGAAGGAAATTCTGACATAGGCTACCCCATGTATGAAACTTGAAGACATTATGCTAATTGTAATAAGCAAGCCCCCCCAAAAGGCAAATAGTGTGTGATGTCACTTGTAAGAGGCACCTAGAGTAGTCAGAATAGAATGGTGGTTGCCAGGGACTGTGGAAGGGGCAGAATACGGAATTACTGGTTAGTGGGTATAGAGTTCCAGTTTTGCAAGATGAAAAAAAAATCCGAAGATGAATGGTGCTGCTAGTTGCAGGATAATGTGAATGTGCTTAATGCTAATGAACTGTACACTTAAAAAGGGTTAACATGGTAAATTTTGTGTTATGTATATTTTGTCAAAATTTAAAACTGTAATTATTAGTGAGAATGAATAAACAAAGAATGTTAAAGTGTCTTTGTAAATTTAAATACCTAGTATATGTATTTATACAAGTATAAATACATAGTATATACAAGTATATACTATGTATTTAGTATATGTCTGATATACTTGTATACATATATACAGGGGAGAGAAACTTCAGAAACAGTACACTGTAAACAGTGTTACCTCTGGAAAGGGGAAAGAGATTATTGGGGGTAAGGTTATATGAAGAAAAATAGCACTTTTTAGTCTTTATACCTATGTGTTGTTTGAATTTTTGTTACACAGAGAATGTGTTCATGTATTACTTGTATATTTTGAAAACAAAACCAGTCCTCCATCCTTCCAACTTCAGTATTTGAAATACTTTTGTATTTAAGGTTGAAAGGCTTAAAGAAGAGATTCGTGAATCTCAAGAGAGTAAGCAACTTGGAAACTACTCTGCTGGGAAAACTGTGGGTGCTGACCAGAAACTACAGGTATTTTAAAGTTCTCTTTCTTCTGATTTCCAATTTTTAAGGGAGTCACAGATTTACAGAGTACATCCGAGCAATTGGTGCTAATCACTTGCTACTCTCTTCTTATTGCCTGTCTTTTTTTCTATGGCTCAGCCATTAGAGTTGAGGAAGAAATTAAGGTCCAGAGGCTGTATTTCTGTTCAATTCTTCCCCACAGGGAATAATTAATTTGAAAAATATGATGGGCTTTCTCTTTAAAGAAAAGAAGAATTTTACAAAGATGCAACCAACTGGGGTATCTTTAATTATCAAAATGGAGTTGATTTGTAGAATTGGCAAATGATGGGGGCGGGGGTAATTGGTACGTGGCTTCGGTGTGCACTGTGTCTAGTCTTGTCAGCCTCTGAAGTAGTGGACAAAGTGATCAATGATCAAACACAAGACAAACTGAAGCAAGAGGCAATGTGTTTTCCACAGGGCTGTATCACACATTCAGGTAAAGGAGCTACACCACTCTCAGGGGCAGCCTTCCCTCTTACATACTTAATATGAGGGACATCTCGTGTTGCTGAGGCATCTCATTCACTGAATTTGTTTTTGTTGTAACTCCCTGGGTCCTACATACCAGACCTTTTAGGTATCAGGAAAACTGTAGCCACAGGATTTCTTGACTTCAGCCAAGGAACTAGTTGCCTACCTGTCTCCCAAAATCCCCTTGTAGGTAAATAACTCATTTTTGTAGAAAAGAAGGGAAGGAGGGAGGGAAAGAGAGAAGGAAGGAGGGAAGGAAGGAGGGAAGGAAAGAAGGAATTTCCAGGCAGGGCTTCAGTAACTTTTACCAAAATTATTCCCAAAGAATCCAGTGTTGCTCTAATTTAAAGCAAGTTGATTTATTAGTAACTATTTTTATTAGTTTTTTTATTTATCTTTCTATTATTTATTTATTTAAACATAAGCTATTTGAATATTTATTCAGATTTTCTCCTTTCTTGATTTCTTTCCTTCTCTCTCTCTCTCTCTCTTTTTTTTTTTTTTTTTACTAAAATGCTCCTGGAGATTCTTCCGTATCATACAAGGAGATTTTCCTCCTTCTCTAGGGCAGTCTAGCATTCTGTTGTGTGATGTACTATAATTTATTTAACAAGTCTCGGGTTGATGGACACTTGGGTCGTTTCTAGTCCTTTGCAGATAGTGTATGTAAGTATTTCTATAAGATAGAATCATAGAAATGAGATTGTGGGGTTAGATGTTAGTGCATTTGTAGTTTGGATAAATACTATTTGCCAGATACTATTGTGTGGAAATTGTACTTTTTTCCTCTCCCATCAGCAATGTATGAGGAAACTGGTTTCCTAAAAAATTCATCGACTGAAAGTATTGTCAACTTTTGTATTATCGCTAAATGATAGATGAGAATGAGTGTCTCAATGCAGTTTTAATTTTTACTTATCTATTTATAGTGAGATTAAACACTTTCATATGTTTAAAAGTTTTTTCTGTTTTTTATAAAATTAACTTTATTGAAATATTTACTACAATATAAGCATACATATTTTAAAAGTTGAGTTTAATAAGCTTTGACAAATACATCCATTTGTATAATCACAACCACTGCAATCAAGAAAGAAAACAGCCCTGGCTAGTGTAGCTCACTTGGTCCCACAAAGCCAAAGACTCTGGTTTGATTTCAGTTAGGGCATGTGCCTAGTTTGTAGATTCAGTCCCTAGTCAGGGGCGTGTGAGAGAGGCAACTGACCTGATCGATGTTTTTCTCTCACATCAAGGTTTCTCTCCCCCTCTTCCTCCCGTTCTTCCCCTCTCTCTAAAAAAGGAATAATAATAATGATAAATTAAAAATAAACATTTTTTAAAAGAAAGAAAGAAAGCATATTCATTAGCCTAAAAATTTCCCTCCCCCTTTGCTGTCAATACCCCCAACTTCACCATTTTCTATTATCATACCTTTCTAGAATTTCAAACACATAGAATCATCTAGCGTATTCTTTCATGCTTGGCTTCTTTCACTTGTAATGCTTTTGAGATTTATCCATGTTGCTTCCTGTATCAGTAGTTCATTTCTTGCATTGTTGAGTGGTATTCTATATGTGGATATACTATGCATCGTTTGTCCACCGATTGGCTGGTAGATGAGCCGGTGGTTTCCGTCTTTGACTGCTGTGAACACGGCTGCATCTAGTATTCACATGTCAGTGTCTTACCTGTCTTGGATGAATACCTAGCTGTGGAATCAACCCAGTCGTAGAGTAAGTGTTTGTTCAATTTTATAAGAAACTTCCAGACTGGTTTTCAAAAAAGTTGTACTGTTTTACATTTCTACCAACAATAGTATGAAACTTTTAGTTCCTCCTTATCTTCACCAACATTGCTATTATCCATCTTTTAAATTCTAGCAAACATGTGGTGGTATCTTTTTCTTTTTTTATTTTGATTTTCAACACTAATGACAATGAGTATGTTTTCATGTGCCCATTTGGCCCTTTGTGTACATTCTTTTGTGAAGCATCTATTCACATGTTTTGTTCATTTTTAATTGTTATATGTATGACATTGTTATTCTTTGTAGTGAGTTGCTGAAATGCTTAACATATTTTGGATACCAGTCCGTCATTAGAGATACATATGTCAAATATTTTTCTCTTAGTATATCATTTTTTAATTATTGTTCAAGTACAGTTGTCTCCATTTTCACCCCACCTCAGCCCCTTACCCACCCATCTGTCTCCCACCCTCAAACCTACCCCCTTTGGCTTTGTCCATGTGTCCTTTATACATGTTCCAAGATGGCCCTTCCCCTGTTATTCCCCATTATCCCTCTCTCCGCTCCCCTCTGGTTACTGTCAGTTTGTTCTTTAATTCAATGTTTCTGATTATATTTTACTTCCTTGTGCAGAGTAGTTTTATGAAGAGTAGTCGTTTTAAGCCCTGGCTGGTGTAGCTCAGTGGATTGAGTGCAGGCCTGCGAACCAGAGGATCGTGCTTTGATTCCCAGTCAGGGCACATGCCTGGGTCTCAGGCCAGTTCCCAGCAGAGGATGCACTAGAGGCAACCAGACGTTGATTTTTCTCTCTCTTTCTCTCTTCTTCCTCTCTAAAGGGTAAAATATTCACAATGTATTAACTAAAAGTGAAGTTAGCTTTTTAAAAAAATTTTTAAAAAGAGTAGTTGTTTTGAAGATTTGATGGAGACAGAATCATAGCTCTGTCTTTAATAATTTTATGATAGGACACAAACAGCCTATCTAAGAAATCTTTATCTACAGAAGGTCACAAAATATTTTTCCTATCTGCTAAAGGCTTTTTAGGGTCTACATTTAGGTTTAAGATCCACTGAGTTATAATCTTTGTATATGCTGTGAGGCAAATATTGAGATTCATTTGTTTCCAAATATATACCTGGTTTTTCCAGAATCATTCATTGAAAAGACAGTTAGTTCCTTATTGAATTGCTTTGGCAACTTTATTAAAAATTGATTATGCAAGTCTATTTCTGAACTCTATTCTGTTCCATTTATCTATACATTTGTTCTTAGGATAATACTATACTGTCATTTTAAGTCTTAAAGTCAGAAAGAAAATGTCTCCTTTGTTCTTCTTTTTCAAAGTTGTCTTGGCTGTTCTAAGTCTTTTTCATTTCCCTATATGTTTTAGAATCAGCTTCTCAACTCTGACAAACATGCCTACTAGAATTTTTATTGGGATTGCATTGAATTTTTAGATCAATTTTGGGAAAATTTATATCTTATCAATATTGAGTCCTCCAACGTGTAAACATGGCCTAACTTTCCCTTTGTTTGGGTCTTCTTTAGTTTATACCAGCAGTGTTTCATAGTTTTCAGCACACGCGTCTTACATATATTTAATTAAATTTATTTTTAAAAATAGAAATATAATATGTGCACTATAAAATTCACCCTTTTAAATTACACAGTTCAGTGATTTTTAGTATAAAAAAATTACACACAGTTGTGCAATTCTAGAATATTTATCTTATTCTGGAGTATTTTCATCACCCTAAAAAGACACCTCATACCATTAGCCATTTCCCATTACTCAGACCCCAGCCTCTTGGCAGCCACTAACCTTTCTGTCTCAATGAATTTGCCCATCCTGGACACTTCATATAAATGGAGTCATACAGTATATGCCTTTTTCATCTGGCTTCTTTCACTTAGCATAGTGTTTTCAAAACACAACCATATTGTAACATGAATCAATACTTTATCCCTTTCTGTGGCAGAATAGTATTCTGTTATGTTAATATATACCACTTTTTGCTTTTCCATTCATCAATTGATAGACATTTGGTAGTTTTCACTTTGTGGCTATCATGAGTAATGCTGCTGTGGACATTCAGGTACAAACTTTTGTGTGGACATGTTTTCATTTCTCTTGGGTATGTACCTAGAAGTGGAATATGGGGTCATATGTTAACTCTATCTTTAAACTTTTGAAAAACTGCCAGGCTATTTTCCATAGGAGTTGTACCATTTAACATTCCTATCAGCAGTGTGTAAGACTTCCAATTCCTCCATACCTTCACCAACATATGTTCTTTTTTTATTATAGCCATTCTGTTGTGTATGAAGTACTATCTTAGTGTAGTTTTGATTTGCATTCCCTGAATGACTAGTGGTATTGAACATCTTTTCATGTGTTTATTGACTATTTATATATCTTCTTTGGAAAATGTGTTCCAAATCCTTTGCAAATTTTTATTGGAGTTTTGTCTTTTTATTGTTGAGGTACAAGAGCTCTTTATACATTCTGTTTATTAGTCTCTGTTATAAACTAAATCGTGGTCCCCCTAAATATGTTAGTCCTAACCCCCTAGTGCCTGTGAATATGACCAAACTTGAAAATAGACTCTTTGCAAATGCAATCAAGTTAGAATGAGGTCATTAGGATGCACTCCTAATGACCAGTGTGCTTATGAGGAGAGGAAATGACATGTGAAGACAGAGACACACAGGGAGTGGCAGGTGATGGCAGAGGCAGAGACTA